CACTTCATACCGAACAGACCACTGAAACAGCAGACTTGTAATCTGCATCCAACTGACTTGCAGAGTTGTATACAGCACAAAAAGTTGGATTCCGTAAGCTTCTGGATCACGGCGCGCAAAGACGGTAGCTACAACTCCCTTTCCGATGCAAAATTCCTATTCCTTGGCCTCCAGCTATGAGGAAAACAGCGCTTATCGAGCACAAAGGGCCCAAGAATGACTATTTAAGGATGTGTTCTTGGGCATATATAACCATCTATATCAATATCAATATGCCTCCCAAGTGGGCATAGAATATATTGACAACCTAACCTAATCCACTGAGACAATTAAGATGATTGGCTATAACTTTTTGCAAGAAAAAGGACGGTAAGATGACCACAGAATTGGGTTGAGTTGAGATAAACATATCTACTCAGCGAATCTAATACCGCATTTGCGTTTGTGGCACCTCTTAGGTTGCATCTGAATCACCCTCTTTTTTTTTCTTTCCCCTGGTGTTGATTACAGGAGTTGGAAAGGCCTCAACAATCCTTTACGAAGCAATGAGTATTCAACTACTAGCATGGAATGGAAAAGTTAGAAAAGAATATCATTTCCTTTATAGAGGGACAAGGCAAGAAAAGACGGTGCCCAAGCCCGACCGCAGAAGAAGATTTCAGGAAAGCACCCACTAGGGAAATCCAACAGAGAACCTTGTGTTGATAATTGAGATGAATTGTGATCCAGAAACAGGAGTGAAAAGGATCCCCTTTTCGCAATAAGAAATGGAAGAAAAGAATTCAGTTGGACTCCGAAGCTGAAATCAACAACCTCAACTAAACGGAAGGAAGGAAGGAATTGTCGACGGAAGGAGAAGAGAAGTTGCAGGATAGCAATGGCAAGAGATAATTCTGACGGGCGTGCGCGGCGGAACCCCCCGGATCCCACGAGTCCAGTGCCCCCTCGTCATCAATCAAAAAGAAAAAAGAATCCTCCCCCGGGGCGAGGTAGGTTCATCCAACCCGCCGGACGAACGAACCGATCTCGAAGCGCCAACAACCCACACGGGCACCGAAAGGCAGCCAACCACCCCGCAACAAACAGCAACCCCTGGCGCACGGTCTCACCTTCCTCCGCTGCTGGTGCTGGTGTTGTTGCTGGTCCGGCTGCATCGCTCACCGCCGCTTGTCCACCGGCGAATCAATCCGCATTTGTCACCGCCGGCACGCGCGCGCGAGGGAGAGATCTCTGTCCCCGGGCCGGTATGGCGGGGTGGGCGGATCGACGATGAAACGAGCGCAACCCCAACCCCAGCCTGAACCGGAACGCTCGTGTCTTGTGGCCCGGCTCGCTGCGACTGAGCAACTCGCGGGCGAAGGGGGTGTGAGTTGTTGTGGCGTTGGTTTCGTCCTGTGGCCCGGTGGGGGTGGGGCAACGTGAAGGGCAAACACAAGGAGCTCCGTCTCGTCTCGTTCGTCTGGTGCGAGCGATCGGGTTCGTTCGGCGACTGACTGGTCCTCGGGCAGGCGGGCGGGCGGGCGTTAAAAAGAAGTGCTTGCTTGCTTTCTTTCTTTCTTTTGACAGCCGCGCGGCGGTGGGTCACCATGTGATTGACGATGTGGATGATTTTGTGGAGATCCGTTCCGCTCCGGTTGAGTTTGGAGCGGCGTGGCGTGGTGGCCAGGCATGCGTTTTTCTGGTTTGGCCGGCGCGACGACGGCGACCGGCAAAACCACCTTTCTTTTTTTACTAATATTAACACACTTTTGTTCAGCTTGCGTGCTTATTTTGTGGCGACTTGCATCAATCACATGGCCAGCCACGCCAATATGGGGATGTGCGTGGAACGCAAGTTATTTTTATCTAAACCCAACGGCTTTTCCGCACCTTTTTCTATCCGAACGGAACGGAGTACAGCAGTAAAAATGAGCACTAGGCGGTTCTGTTCGCGTGGGAAGTTTCGTGCGCTGCGCCGGGGCCGTGATACGATAAGAAAGCGCGGTTATCTTATTGGTTGGTGGATCTGGATTTCTTCCATCTCATCTCAACAATATTCATAGCAGCAGGATAAGGTCTCACCGACATACGTACATGACGCCAAATAACCTAATCGGGCCTCGCATGTGCTGTGGTGCTAATCATCCATCTTCTTTTCCTTTCTTCATTTCCTACCCATGTGATCGTCTTTTTATGGGAGGGAATCATCACCAGCATCAGCTCATCCCTCGCCTACTAAAATGCTTCGAATTTATTCAACTTTATCCACTGTCAACAAACCCGGTCGCAAATGTTCCTGCCTGCTTCTCCGTACTTACCTCCGTTTGGGCTTACTAGTTCCTATCGTATTTTGGGTCAAAGTTTAACCATATATTTAAATAGTAAGATGTTAATGCATGTCACAACAAATTACAGTGTTGGATTTATCTTTGAATATCTATTTTCGTTGTGATTTATTGGTCCCTTTCTATTTTGTGCCGGATGTAAATGTAACTATAAAATATGAGTTGTATGTCACAAAATTTTATTGTTTGATTCACATTTGAATCAGGTTTCCAATGATACTATTTTTGTGGTATATAACATACATTTGATAGTTAAATCAATTGTCAAAGTTGTCCAACAATACAATAGGGACTCATAAATCCGGACGGACGTAGTAGTTTGGAATGATATTATTTTTGCAACATATAACTTATATACTATTTTAGTTAAATGTATGGTCAATATGACCCATAATATTAGGAGGACTAGTAAACCTTGATATAGGTAGTATACTAGATAAGATCCATATCATCATGAAGTTTCATTTCAAAATACAGAATGATCACTACCATACCAACTGTACGTGTTAAATTTATTGGAGTACTTTATTTATTTATCTCTCCGGGTATTAGGTCTCGTTGCTGCTCAACAACTCCAATTGACGTCCCAGCTAATTTACGTACCATGCACCACATGATATGAGTTATTATTGTATCACATAATAATGTGTAGCTAGCTTTGCTTCTTATTATTGATGAATGCACTCTTTTAGTTTCTTTAACCGAAAACCGCAAAACAATCATTCCATATATATAAAGAAAAGTCAAATATGTACAGGCACCCCCTCCCCCCGGCTCTCGCGTCGCACCTCGTGCGCGACTCGAGGGCGACCGAACCCTAGCGCCTCGAGCCCTCCCCCCCCCCTCCCTCCTTCATGCCGTCGCCTGAGGACTCCGACGGCCTTGCTGTGCGGCCTCCGATGAAGGTGGCGGTGTGGCTCGGCTGCCCTGCCCCGTCGCAGGGGGCTCCAGAAGCGGGGGCAGCGGCGCGAATCTCGTCGGTTGATGGCATCAGGGGAGCTGGCCGTCTCTTCCGGTCGTGTGGGCGGCGGTAGGGCAGCACAGATCCTCCGTGGCTACGGGATGCTCTGCTGGCTCCGCCGGATATGGGTCCTGGCCTCCTCCCCTTGCTACGGTCAGATCTGGCTGTTGGGCGTCGGGTGGCGGGAGCTCTGGAACGGGGGAATCCCATGGTCTACTATGCGTCGACCTCGACGGCGTCGGCGTAGGCTCCTGAGGGCGTGTCGAGCTTCCAATCTCGCCACCCCTCTTCCTCCCTTGCGCTCCTAGGTGAAACCTTGGCCTTTTAGGCTGGACGGCGGCGGCGTTCCAGCGGCGTATTCCTCCTTGGAGGCGTCGTCCTAGGGATGGGCGGAAGTTGCGGTTGTGGTGTTTGGTGGATGGCGGCAACGTTGGTGCATTGCTCTCTAGGCCGCCGATGATGTGGGGGCGAGTTGGTTGGTCCGCAATCCTTCAGCGGTTCTTGTATAGTACCCTCATGGGTTGTTGGCCAGTGTATCGCATCCTCGTGTAGTGGCACGGCATGGACGTAGGGGAGGTTGTGTTTTCTCTCCAACAATGGCCCCTTTGGGGACGACAATATTGGGTTTCTCTCCATGCGGTTTAGCTTCTCCCATCTGCGTTCGTTGGCATCTTTGGTTGGCCTTTGCTCTGCTGCTCTAGCTGCAGTGTGCGCGCCGGCTGTTTGGCTGTGGTTCCTTAGTGTAGGCGATGGCGTTCTGTAGCTTTCCTACCACTACTAGGGAAATGCTTATACACAGGAGCTCACCAGTAGCGCTTGTTCAAGGAAAACGCTGATGCTATATAGCAGTAGCGCTTGAGCAGAACGGGCGATGGTACTATGATGCTATATAGCAGTAGGCCCATTAACCCCCTGGGGGGGTCCGGTAACCCCCCGGTACTCCGGTAAAATCCCGATTTCACCCGGAACGATTCTGATATCCAAATACAGGCTTCCAATATATCAATCTTTACGCCTCGACCATTTTGAGACTCCTCGTCATGTCCGTGATCACATCCGGGACTGCGAACAACCTTCGGTACATCAAAAACTATAAACTCATAATATAACTATCATCGTAACGTTAAGCGTGCGGACCCTACGGGTTAAAGAACTATGTAGACATGACCTAGAAAAATTTCCGGTCAATAACCAATAGCGGAACCTGGATGCTCATATTGGCTCCTACATATTCTACGAAGATCTTTATCGGTCAAACCGCATAACAACATATGTTGTTCCCTTTGTCATCGGTATGTTACTTGCTCGAGATTCGATCGTCGGTATCCAATACCTAGTTCAATCTCGTTACCAGCAAGTCTCTTTACTCGTTACGTAATACATCATCCCGCAACTAACTCATTAGTTGCAATGCTTGCAAGGCTTATAGTGATGTGTATTACCGAGTGGGCCTAGAGATACCTCTCTGACAATCGGAGTGACAAATCCTAATCTCGAAATACACCAACCCAACATGTACCTTCGGAGACACCTGTAGAGCTCATTTATAATCACCCAGTTACGTTGTGACGTTTGGTAGCACACAAAGTGTTCCTCCGGTAAACGGGAGTTGCATAATCTCATAGTCATAGGAACATGTATAAGTCATGAAGAAAGCAGTAGCAAGATACTAAACGATCAAGTGCTAAGGCTAACGGAATGGGTCAAGTCAATCACATCATTCTCCTAATGATGTGATCCCGTTAATCAAATGACAACTCTTTGTCCATGGCTAGGAAACATAACCATCTTTGATTAATGAGCTAGTCAAGTAGAGGCATACTAGTGACACTCAGTTTGTCTATGTATTCACATATGCATCATGTTTCCGGTTAATACAATTCTAGCATGAATAATAAACATTTATCATGAAATAAGGAAATAAATAATAACTTTATTATTGCCTCTAGGGCATATTTCCTTCAGTCTCCCACTTGCACTAGAGTCAATAATCTAGTTCACATCATCATGTGATTTAACACCAATATTCATATCTGTATATGATTAACACCTATAGTTCACATCGTCATGTGACCAACACCCAAAGGGTTTACTAGAGTCAATAATCTAGTTCACATTGCTATGTGATTAACACCCAAAGAGTACTAAGGTGTGATCATGTTTTGCTCGTGAGAGAAGTTTAGTCAATGGGTCTGTCACATTCAGAGCCGTATGTATTTTGCAAATATTCTATGTCTACAATGCTCTGCACGGAGCTACTCTAGCTAATTGCTCCCACTTTCAATATGTATCCAGATTGAGACTTAGAGTCATCTGGATCAGTGTAAAAGCTTGCACCGATGTAACTCTTTACGACGGGCTCTTTTATCATCTCCATAATCGAAAAATATTTCCTTAGTCCTCACTAAGGATATTCTTGACCGTTGTCCAGTGATCTACTCTTAGATCACTATTGTACTCCCTTGCTAAAATAGGCAGAGTATACAATAGATCTGGTCCATAGCATGGCATACTTTTATAGAACCTATGGCTGATGCATAGGAAATGACTTTCATTCTCTTTATATTTTCTGTCGTGGTCGGGATTTGAGTCTTACTCAATTCCATACCTTTGCAACATAGGCAAGAACTCTTTCTTTGACTGTTCCATTTTGAATTGCTTCAAAATCTTGTCAAGGTATGTACTCATTGAAAATCTTATCAAGCGTCTTGATCTATCTCAATAGATCTTAATGCTCAATATGTAAGTAGCTTTACTGAGGTCTTTATTTGAAAAACTCCTTTCAAACACTCCTTTATGCTTTCCAGAAAATTCTACATTATTTTTGATCAAAAATATGTCATTCACATATACTTATCAGAAAGGCTGT